AATATGGTAGTCATTTTTCTCTCTGCATAACTAATCTTAATAAAGGGGTAGGAGGAGAAGGAAAGATAATCAACATTTATTGAATGTTGGTGACATGATGCTTGGAGACACTGTAAGGTGTCTTGTTTAGTTTTGTACCTATTCCTTACTATACCCCTATGGGGTATATTATTAGCCCCATTTCACAGGTAAAAACAATGCATTTGTATATTTGTGCCCATCGATTTTAAAAAGTGTTGCAAGTGTAAGGCCATGTGAGTTAATCCTGATCTAGGAATCTGTTTCTAACTCATGTCTGACTTTTCCTTGTGGGAGAGACTATATAATTCATTGCAAACCTATATATGCTTCATATAAATGTCTCGTAATGCTTTTGAATGAATTTGCGTAATGACTCAGAAGTAGTTCACTTTTTCTGGTGCTAAGTGTGAAGCCACTCCTCGGAAGAAAGATGAGGCAATCTACTTCTGTAGTGATACTGCCTTGGAAACCCAAGGAGGGGTCGCTATGAGGAAACCCAAGGAGGGATCGCTATTAGTCGGGGCCGACTCGACTCGATGGCACATAACAACAACTACATAACAACAAGTGTGATAAAAGGGCTCTGGTAGCATAGTGCCTAAGGCACTTGTCTGCTAACCAGAAGGCTGGAGGTTCAAACCTACCAGCCACTCTTAGGAAGGAAGATAAGGTAATCTACTTCTTTAGTGATACTGCCTCAAAAACCCAAGGAGGGGTCGCTATGAGTCGGGTACAACTCGATGGCACATAACAACAACAACACCAAGTGTGATAAAAGGTTTTAATTTTGACATTAATCAAGTGTTTAAGTGATGTTAAAATTGAACATATAAATAATTAATGTAAGCAAAATAAGTTGTCATTTTACTTATTTTTCTAAATTATTGTTATGAACTAGAAATTGGTTATATCAGTTGCTTCCATATACATACTTAAATAATAGAAAAACAATATCTTTCCTTTTTCTTGAAATCCTTAATTCTTACTGTGTAATTTAAATCTTGCCAAAAGGATAGTGCTGTTTCTTTTCTAGTAGATAAAAATCCAAGAGGATTAGGATGTTCATAGTAGTGAAAGTGTCAGTAGTAACACTACTGAATTGCATTAAACTTTCAAAACATGTGTTATTCATCTGACTGATATAAAAGACTTAATACCCCTATGGAGCCACTATGAGTAGAAATCAACTTGATGGCAGTGGGTATTTTTATTGAAGTAGTAGGGTTTATGAGGAAATGTTATGTAAGTTTTGAATACACATGTGGTAGTTAAATTTGTATGTCAACTTGGCTGGGCCTGGTTGAGTGGATGGGGAGCTGGTGGTAGTTATTCCCTATGATGAGACTGGCAGTCAACTCCATGGTGGGATCTACCACAAGCAGCTGAGTAGCTGCCTTTGGGATGTGTTCTGCTCCTTGTATATAAGCAGAAGCCTTGGGGATAGTCTATAGCTTATGGCACGCTTGGACCTTTCATGTAGCCATGTCATTGTTTAGCAGCCTGCCATGCTCTGCCAACCTGGGGACTTACAATGGACTTGAATTAATGGCCTGCCGTGTGGTTTGGTAACATTAGGACTGTGCTATTTTATTTGTTGACCTTGGGCTTGTTAGCCTCAGCAGCCAGTAGGTACCTGAGTGAAGAGATGCCACTGGCTTCAGTGGGCCGGGAGCGAGAGGCAGAGCTGAAGCCCAAGGTTGAGGGGCTTTCACCCAGCCCCTAGAGCCTGACACCTTGAACTTGGACTTCTAGCCTCCCAAACTGTAAGAGAATAAACTCCTGTTTGTTAAGGCCATCCCATTTGTGGTATCTTCTTGTCAGAGCGGCATTAGGTAACCGGAACAACAAAGCATGGGAAATAATCTATCAAGTGTAGCAGAGCACCTGGATTGTTTTAACCTGTTCATGACCTGTGGTACATATAGTGCCCACCTACATTTCCCACCTTTGGGTTTAGTGGGAAGCTGCTATCCGACTTTTAGTGTGCACTGCTATCTGGTGGGGGCCTACATGAATTTGAAGAAATGGGCCTCATCACACATACCCCAACACCAGAGACCCCTTACGCCCTGCTGTCCAGTTGGATCCGACTCATAGCGACCCCTCCTTGGGTTTCCAATGTAATATCACTACGGAAGTAGATTGCCCAACCTTCCTTCTGAAGAGACCTCTTAGGACATATTTCATTCAAAATACTTTCTATTGCTGAAAACACATGGTTTTAATAGAAAATTCAAAGCAGAAAATAATTTGATCTTGAAAGTATTAAATTATAAAGCATTATCTTTGGTAATTTAATTCTGTTGGTACTGGTAGTAGGTAGTAGTAGATATATTTCCCTCCTTTATGAAAACTAACTTTATGGTATGAATTACTTTGAATTGAAAAAGTAATATTTTCAAACTTTTATTAACCAAAAGGCAAAATAATGCATTTTATAAATGGCCAAATTTGTTTTAAAACTAACCTATTGCCTAAACTGAAAACTGTGTACCATATACCCTCAGAGACATTGTTACTTTGGAGTTAGATCTGATTTCAACTTTTCAACTCTAAGAGGGTTACTTTTTTTTTTTTTTTTTAATGATCGGGCAACAAGTTAGCATATTTGATCCCTGCTTTGTTTTTTATTTCTAAAATATGTGTTGTTGCTGTTGGGTTCCATCCAGTTGTTTTTGACTCATAGTGACACTGTGTGACAAGAACAGAATGGCCCCATAGGGTTTTCTTGGCCATACTCTTTACAGAAATAGATTGCCAGGTCTTTCTCTCTTAGAATCACTGAGTGGCTTCAAACTACTAATCTTTGGGTTAGTAGCCTAGTGTTCAACCATTTGCACCACGAAAGCTTCTTAAAATATGCATACTGATGCTTGTATTTCATTGAAGTTGGGAGAAGCATATGAGATATTCTGTGAAGATGGTTCCTATATAACAAAATGCTGTATGAACAATATTTTGACAGCTGCTCATTTATGGCAATTTGCAGGTATAAAGAATTTAAATGTTTCTTTTTTAAATACCTGTTCCTCATAAGGTTTTTTTTTTGAGTATTATTACTATATGTTTAAGAAACATCTAACAGTATAATACAAACTTCTGTTTTGAATACAAGGGTGACTCTTTTTTGTAAACTATTGTCCACAATAATGGCATGAATTAAGCATTTTGTATAATATATTTTTACATTCTAAATGATATAGGTGTGTGTTTTTATAGGTTTGCCTGAATCCATCATTGCAGCTGCATGTTCAAGAAGTGGCCAGAGAGTTCTGCATGTTGATTCGTAAGTTTATCCATGGTAGCATTTAATACTTCCTGAATATCACTATATAATATTAAAATTTAAATATACAAAAGTAGATGTATATGTTATATATACATATATATGTATAAATAAATTAACTTTTTAAGTTAGAAAAAGGGTTGAAATTCTTGAATCTTCACCAGAAATGTGTGAAATACATAATGTACAAGTTTGTATTCTTTTTGTTTTTAACAAAACTTTAATTGTGGTAAAATATATATAATGTGAAATTTGCCATTTTAACCATTTTAAGTGTATAACTCAGTGGCTTTAATCATATTTATAGTGTTGTGCAACCATCACCATCTATTTATAAAACTTTTCATCACCCCAAACAGCAGTTTGTACCCATTAAGAAATACCTGCCCGTTTTCCCTTCTCCCTAGCCCCTGGTAACCTCTTATCTACTTTCTGTCTCTGAGTTAGCTTATTCTAGATATTTCATATAAATGAAATCATATCATCTTTGTCCATTTGTGTCTCACTTGTTTCACTCAGCATGTTTTCATGGTTCACCTATGTTATAGTAAGTATTAGAATGTCATTCCTTTTTATGGCTGAATACTATTCCATTGTATGTATATACCACATTTTGTTTATCCATTCAGCTGTTGATGGACCCTTGGGTTCTTTACACCTTTTGTTTATTGTAAACAATGCTGCAATAAACTTGGTGCACAGGTTTGAGTTCCTACTTTCAATCTTTTTAGGTATATACCTAGGAGTTGAATTGCTGGGTCCTATGGGAGCTCTGGTAGCATAGTGGCTAAGACACTTGCCTGCTAACCAGACGGCTGGCGGTTCAAACCCACTAGCCACTCCTCGGAAG